CTGAGCACATTGCCAACTGTTACAGACTTACAGTTCAACTTGGGAAAAAACTGTTACTGATTCTAGGGACGCCGGACCCGCTTTCCGGTGGTTGTAATAAAAAGGAAGCCATTGTTATCAAAAGGTGACAGCTGTATGAACCTGGCCGGAGTGCCCGGATCATGCAGCAAGGGTTGCCTCCGTCCCAAAAAAAAAAAAAAAAAAAAAAAAAAAAGACACAAAGTATCCTACTGCAAGCACGTCGAACATGAGTAAGAAAAGTCCCAGTGCGAGTTTTCTTTTTACTTTGTTTTTGTTTTTTTGGTCTTTTCCGTATGTGATGAGTGGGTGGGCCAGTATCTGGCCCACAAACTCAGCCAGAGATACATGGGCCTGCGTGCTGGGAAGTTTGGCTGGCCAGGGTTGGAGCATGAGTGAAAACAGCGGCCTCCTGTTCGTCCCATCTGCTGGTCAGTCCCAGAGAGGCCAGTACCGGCACCACCCTCCATTTCCCAGCATGGCACGGGACTCTTTCCAGGTCCCTGTTCTTCCCATCTCAGACTGCTGGCCAGTCCCAGAGAGGCCAGCACCGGCACCACCCTCCATTTCCCAGCATGGCACTGTACTCTATCCTGGGCTCTTTCAGGCTTGGGAAGATGGTAGATTTATTAGGCTCGTACATTTAGCGTCGGGTGTACTGGCGGGCGTACTCGTGGTTAACGCGCCACAACGTTCGGGCTTCGGGCTTCGGGCTTCGGGCTTCGGGCTTCAGCTTCCGGAGCAAAAGGGCTGGTGGCACAAGCCAAAAAGGCAAGGGTTGAGCCTGTACCTGTATATTTAGAGCCACTTTCACCATGGATTGGAGTCTGCATGGGGGACGGAGGCCGATGTTTTTTGTCAGCCATGAAGATCTGTCTTCTTCTTTCTTTTTTCTGTTTTTTTTTTTTTACAGAAAGACTCAAAAAAAGTGAAGACTGCCCGGCATAGACAGCATAAGCATGAGGACGACATCAGCATATACTCCAATGGAAAACGAGCCGTCACGCACACCAAAACAGAGAACTGATTCTCAGAAAAATAATCCTTGATAGACATACAACCACCATCACGCGGCCAACCCTCGATGCGTTACGTCTATCCCGCTTACATAGACTCTTCAGGAGGAAGCCCTCAAATCAGATCTCAGATCTCCCAAAAACCTGAGGCCATTCCAATTGCCTTGCCTCTTTTATACTATCCTACCCCCTGTCGCTCGCTAAGGCCAACCAAGCGCCCATCGCCCAACCCTAGCTTCCTAGGCATCATTACTGCAAAACGTAGTAAGCCCATCATGGATAATATGACCCTGATCGAACTCCCATTAACAATATCGTACATCCAGTATGGTGGCAGCCCCTGCCTCACGATAGTTGCACATCCAGCACACATAACTAAGAAGTCATGTATGTCAGCTGCAGACATCGCCCAGCGCTGGAAGTCCTGCACACAGACAAACACATACAAACACACACACAGAACACAGGCAGATCGAAACTGGCACTCCTTGCTCGCACAAGCTCCCGATGTCGAAACAGTCTCTACCGGCAGCGCAAC